TCCCACCTTGCGCTTTGCCAGCAGAGATGGCTTTAATAGAAACCTGAACACTTTGGGGCATGCAGCAGCATCCTGAGTTCCTGGGGTGTGGGGGGGTTGTCTTTGGAGAAGGGCACAGATGAATCTCCCCAGGGGGCTACAGAGCAGGGGGTGAGGGGGGGTGTGTGGTATATTTAGCATTTCTTCCTTTCTTTTAAACCTGACCCCGGGAAAGCTGCGGGGGTACAGCCCTACCCAGGGCTGGAGGGGCAGCTCTTCTCAGAAGAGCCCACTGGCAGAAGCAGAAGGCGGTTTCCAGGCACTGGGGTTTCATGGAGAGGCAGAGAGACTGAGAGGTTCCCCTTGTGCCCTTCAGCCCTCCTGGCCCCCGGCCCCACATAGCCTCGCCCCACCTCCAACCCGGACCCCCGGGCTATAGCCCCGCCGGCTGCAGAGGGGTTTTCTGGGGGCAGCACAAAGTGGCTCGCATGGCAGGCGGACAGGTAGTGGACTGGGGACAGGAGGGAGGCTTGTGTGTGGGCTTGTACTTGCCCGCAGGCTGGCATGGACTCTATCCCTGCAGGATGCTGGGCTCTGCGGGGCCCCGAGGAGGTGAGCGGCTGCACGGGGGGATCCGTGGAGGTGCGCTGCGAGTATCAGCCGGAGCTGGTGGATGCCAATAAGTACTGGTGCAGGGGCAGCAGCTGGTTTTCCTGCTCCATCCTCATTCAGACGACAGCTCCCGGGGATGAAGCATGGGGGGACAGGGTCTCCCTGCGAGACGACCCCATTCAGCACGTGTTCGTGGTGACCATGGAGAGCCTGACTGTGGAGGACGGGGATCGGTACTGGTGTGGGATCCAGGTAGCCTGGTATGACCCCATGTTCCCTGTCATGGTGTCTGTTCTCCCAGGTAAGCTCCTGGAGTGGCCGTTCTGCTTTCATAGAGGCTGGAGGGACAGAGGGAATGGGGAGAGGGGAGGCTTGGGAGGGAGGACACGGAGAGCTAGGGATGGAAGAAATCCCTCTCCGAATTGCCTTCAGTGATCCCGCAGCATCCACCCCCTTGTTCCTGCAGTGCACACAACGCCCCTGGGGCCACTCTTGGCACTTCCCAGCCACCCCCCATCACCTCCCTGCCAGCAGCCTCTGGGGCCCTGAAGCCCCCAGTCACCAACCTCAGCTCCAGCCTGGGACCAGGTAATGCACCGCGGCGTTTTCCCATCTGTTTCCACCACAGTGCCCAAGACAACAGACTATGACCTCCACACAACACAGGAGGAAGAGGCCACATCTGCTCCCACCTTCCCATGGACTCCCCTGGAGCTGGAAAACACTCTGTCCACGCTGAAAGACAGAAGCCTGCAGGCTGGGTGAGTGCCAGGGCCACCAGGGAGGAGAGGGACCGTCCCCAGTGCAAGGACCAGGCAGCCCGAGGATGCAGGGTCCAGCTCCAGTCTGCCTACAGGGCTTTGGGGCCAGTGGGACATCTCTGGAGAAAGCAAAATGTGATGCTGAGGGGGCTGCTGTATCCCTGCATGCCATAGGGCTGCACTGGTTGGGGCTCCCAGGGTCTTTGCCCAGCTCCCGCAGGGCTGCAGGGGACGTCGACACCCCAGGCAGGCGTGTGCTGCATCTGGGCACTTGTCCATGAAGGTGAGGGATGAATCTGTGCAACTGGCTCATGCCAAGTTGGCCAAGACATTGCACATACATGTGCATGAATCTCTGGCCAGGAAACCTGGGAGAAATCTTTGGAACACCCTTGCCAGCCCGCGGAGTTTCATACCCCCGAGGGTTGTGCTAAATACAGGCATGAAAGCCCTCCCCAGGGCACAGGGCTGCAGAGGGGAAAGCGCAGAGGGGCAGCAACACCCTTTTCTCCCCTCCTAGCACCTCAAACCTTCTTGTCCTGGTCTTGACACCCTCTGCTGTGCTGGTGCTGGTTTTGGGCGTCATCATCTGCCACAGGATGAGAAGAGCATCATTGGAGAACAGCAGAGGTACAAATGATCTGAGGGTCCAAGCTGTGGCCCTCCTCTGTGGGGCAGCTGCGGGCGTCCCTGTGCTGCTCCCCAGCGCCCGTCCCCCTATCCCAGCACACCACAGGCTGCCCTCCCACTCCCGTCCCAGGGATGAGCAGGGCTGGGAGCGAAAGAGGCAAAAGGGACTGGCATCCTCCCCAGGACCCGCTGTGGTCCAGGGCCTCTTGGCAAAGTCAGCCCAGACCTGCGGTTGCACAGGAACCGATGTGACCACCCATGGGGAAGGGCTCAGAATCCCCCTAAAATGCTCCCCATCAGCAAAGGGTGGTCTGTGTTGGTCTGACCCATTTCTCCTGCACGTTCCTCAGCAGCCCAGACCATGGAGAGACAGAGGGCCAATGACCTCCAGGTACCACGGGTGGGAGGGCAGTGGGATGGGGGGTCTGGTGATTGCTCCACCACAAGGGAGCCACTCCCTGGAGCCCCACTTGTGCCCAACACGCTTCGTCCCCTCCAGGTCCCTGCAAGCTGGAAGCGAGAAGCCACTTCTAATAACATCTACATGAACGGGGAGAGGGAGCTCAGCTTGCCCGAGGATGACTATGAGAACAGCCCGGCCAAGTGGCAGGTAAAGGGGGCTGGAGCAGCTCCTCGAGCACGCAGCGAGTTACCCCACAGGTGCTGCTTGCTCCCAGCCCTGCAGTGAGGAGGAGCTGCTCGGCTTCGGGGTCACGCTCCTTCCTCCACACCAGCTTTTCCCTTACCTTCAACAGCCTGTCTCAGGCAGCAGCTGTCAAACCCCACAGGAATAGGCATTACATAGACATGAACTTCTAGAATAGGTGCACCTGCAAAGTCCCCCAAATCTTTACATTTCTCCCCCATTTCAGGACTTCGAAAAGGGAGACAAACTTTCGTTTTCCAGAGCTCCAAAACCACAGCCAATCTACGCGAACATGCGCTGAGCAGCTCTGCGCTTGGCCCCTCGCTGCCAGAAAGACCCGTGTCCAGGAATGGGCATCCTCTGCAGCTCTCCCGACATCCAGGGCATGTTTCCCCACTGCTGCTCGAGTTCTCTCTGCCTCTCCTGTTGAGATTCCCTGTATCCTGCAGAAGCAACCCCTGTCCCCTCCGTACCACACCAGACTGGGGACCCCAGTGTCACACGGGGTCCCCGCAGCGTGACGCGCGTGCCACCAGGCCAGCAGTGCTGTTTATCCCCACCCTGCCATGAGATTATTAAATGAGACAAGATCAGAAGATTTGGGACGTGTTCAAAATATCCCCCAATTAGGGGTTAAAAGCCCAGCATCCCTGGTCCAGGCTGTAGGGGAGCAGTGGATGCTGCGCCCTGGCAGCCCTTTCTCATCTTCCTCAGTTCTTGTGCTCAGCAATAAGGAGGAAGAGGAGGTCGGCGTTTGGTCAGAGATGTGACCTCCATCCCCTCCCTACCCCTGGTGACTCTGAGGTGCCCCAGGAAGGAGGTGATGCTACGGCCGGTGTGGTCTCCCCTGTTCCCACACAGAGTTGTGCTTCTTTATTTTCACCTGGCGCCTCGTTCCCTTCCCTCCAGGTCTTTGCACAGAGCGAAGGGGCTGAAGGGCAGAGGGGGGTAGAGGGAGGGTCTGGGGGGGGGTTCCTGGCTGCAGGGGGTCCCTTCCCTTTCCCCCCCAGCCCAGCCTCCCACGCAGACACCAGGATTTCAGCTGCGTGTCCCAGGCGGGACAGTTGCGGAAGGAAAAGCCCCTGTTTGGGGAGGTCTCGTCATCTACCCAAATATAATCACCCTGCTACGAAATGGAAACCCACACAGCAGTTTTAGAAAGAGGAAGAAAAACCACAAGGATAGAAAGAAAAGGAGGTGGGGGGATGCTGCACGAAGGGCCTGTGACAGCCCTGCGGCCGCAGCCCGGACAGCAGAGCGGCCAAGCTGGAGCTAAAGCCATGGGGAGGCTCAGCCCCATCTCTGCCTTCCCACGGGCCAGGGGAGCTTGGTCCAGGGTGCCACTTGGTCCCAAGGGCAACCCAAGCCTCATCGTCAGCACGAAGCTCAGGTGCCAAATGGGGTGCGGGAGCACGGAGGGAGCTGCTGCCTGGACCAGTTCCAGCGATGCAGCTGTGCTCCCAATTTTCGCCTGAACCCCAGCTTGGTCATACCTGGGATAAAAAAGCCAGAGGAGGAGAAGGAGGAAGCCCCACATCATCCCAACCACTCTGTCCCAGCAAGCATATCGGCAAAGTTGAACCCCTGCCATCCAGCTGCAGCCCTCAGCACCGTGTGGCAGCTCCAAGTGATGTCCAGATCATTCCCACTCGCCCCTCCCTGTATGTCTCATGTCTCCTACTTCCCCCCCAACCGTCTTGGTGCTGCAGACCCCAGCAGAGCCCAGGGCTGGGGCCAGGCACCCATGACTCCGAGAGCTGGCAGGGCCCCGGCATGTCCCTCTTAGCCAAAACACAGTCCAGGGGCTGAGCTGACGCCCTCTGAGCGCCTGGGAGGCTGCACCCATCCCGGCATCCCTCCTTAGCCCGGCCAAGGGGGACCAGCAGGACATGCAGCCTCCAGCGCCCCCAGGAATGTGAGATGGGGTCTGTGAAGATCAAAGGTCCTGTGCTGGTTTTTGCCCCGTTTTGGTGTTGGAAGCTCTGCTCAGCTCATGTGCTCCAGCACCTCTCTGCAGCAGCTACTTGGGGTGAAGACCTCTCCCCCCCTAAACCCTCCTTTGAAGTGGGGTGCACCAGGGTCCCATGTCCCGTTTCTGCAGCTGCCCACCCTCCCCGGTGTGCTTCAGGTATGCCACTTTGCGAAAAGCATCTCAGCATCTTGTCACCTGCAGGAGAAAACCCCCAGCTCCGAGGCGAAGCCCGGCCAGATAAAAATAACCCGGCAGCAGAGCAGCGCGCTTCGCCGCCACCTCTTGCACAAGCAAAAAAGCAAAAAAAAGAAGCTGAGAGCGCAGATCAGCTCAGCATCCCCCCGCTCCCTGCCCTGCGTGGGAGGCTGATGCTTGCAGACCTCCAGAGCAAAGCGGGACGATGGGGATATCGCTGGGCTGGGTCTGGATCCTTCTCCCAGGTGAGGACAGGCTCCATCCATGCTGGTGATGCTCCAGCTCCTGCTGGCACCACCGGGCCGGGGCTGCTGAGCCCCTCCAGGGACACAGGCTCCATGTTGGGCACCGATGGAGCCAAAGCCTCCCATCACCACAGCCTGGTGTCTGGGGCTAAAAGCTGGCAGATGGGGTCTCCCCCAAAGTGCTTCTCTCCAAAGGGAGCTAAGAAGGAGGCACTCGGGGGAAGGCTGGCTTTGCAGCCCTGCTTCTTTCCCAGTGTCACTGTGGATTTCTTCACAGTTTGCCAGGCTCTGGTTGTCCCCAGGGAGGTCAGCAGCCGGACAGGGGAGACCCTCTCCATCCGCTGCTGGTACCCCCGGGGCTACGAGGGCTACAACAAGTACTGGTGCCAGGGGGACAGCCGAGACTCCTGCCACAAGGTGGTGGAGACGAAGGGCAGGGAAGTGCCCTGGCAGCACGGCCGGGTCTCCATTGAGGACAACCATGTCTTCTGCGTGGTCCTGCTCACCGTCAAAGATGTCTCCAAGGAGGATGCTGGGAACTACTGGTGCGGAATTGAGAGGACGGGCAGGGACCTGATGGAGCCGGTGACAGTGAGGGTCGTCCCAGGTAAGCCCTGGTGTCCGTCTGGCTGGAGGTTTTGCTGGCCAGGACCCTTTTTTTGGAGAGGTCACTGGCTCACGGGCCAGCAGTGACCTGGGAGGAAGCAGCAATGCAGGAAAGTTCCTGGGCTCTGATCCATTTATACCACCCAGTATAAACCAGTGGCAGAGGATGGGAGGGGTGACAGACTGCTTTCTTCAGGGGATGGTCACAGATGCAGGCAGAGCGTGCTAGAGCCCAGTTCAGGGTCCAGCCCTGGGCTGTTTTGGGGCTCCCGGCACACATAACCGCGCAGGCAGGGCAGTGGCATGTGCTGGAGGGGACATGGGCAAGTGGGGGACCCACGGTCACTTCCAGCCCCCGGTTGCCACCAGGACCTTCTTTTTTGCAGCTGCACTGGGTAACCTGGCAGCTCCCCAGGCCACCCGCACCCCCACCCCCTGGATCTCCAACACCACGATGGATTCCCCCCTACCCACCAACACCACCATCACAGGGTGGGTCTGGGGCTGTGGGGCACAGGGGGAGCACGGGGAAGGGCAGTGGGCTCTCACCGCCATGGGCAGCAGTGGATGCCCCTGAGTGGGGGGGCTCGTGGGGACACGCAGGTTCTTCATCCATCAGCCTGGGGCATTTGGGGGTCATGTAACAGCAGAAACCAAAGTGGGGTCCCAGGCTGTTGTCCTGCTCTGCCTCCCAGCCCGTGGCTGGCTGCGGAGGGGGTGCGGGAGGGCACCGGCACACAGGGCACTGCAGAAGCAAAGCCCCAGCTTTAGGAGGGAGAGAACCCTCCTAAAGGGGAGGGAGCCCCACTCCTCTCCCCTTGCCTCCAGCCCTGGACAGCCAGCCCTGAGCATCCTGGTACCCATTGTGGTCCTGCTCTCCCTCCTGGTTGCCACTGGTTCTGTTGGGCTCCTCTGCACCCGGCGCAGGAGGAGGGGAGGTAACGGTGCCCGTGCGTGCCCCGTCCCAGGCACACCTCTCTGCCTGTCCCAGGACCCCAGGGACAAACCCAGCCTGGGCGCAGGGATGCAGGGAGCTTCCCCCTCCCAGCAACACAGAAAACCTCCCCCCGCGTCTCTTCTTTCTGGCACGCTGCCCCCTCGCCCCAAGGCCCGCACAGCCCCCTACAAGCCGGGCACCACCGCAGAGCCGGACCATTGCCCCATCTATGACAACGAGCTGGACCTGGCACAGGTGAGTGCCCCTGGTGTAGGCAGCGCAGGCAGTGCAGGCAGTATGGGCAGGGGCCATGCAATGTTTCTGCTCGCCCCGGGCAGCCCCCGCACTACCCAGCTGTGCCCAGGGCTGCGGGGACACTCTGTCCTCTTGCCAGTTTGGCTGCAGTGACACAGAGCAGGACCCCGAGCTGGAGGACCACGGTATCCATACGAACGCCCTGTGTCTTCAGGAGAAGACGATGGGGATGCCTGGTCGACATTTCCCGGGAGAAGCAGCTCCCTACTTGTCCTAGCAGAGCATCCCTCATGGACAGAGGGTCCCTACGGGGCCACCCCCAGGGATGTCTTTGGGATCGCCCCTGGGGACATCCTTGCTGCAGCAGAGGAGGTGAAGGAGCGCTGCAGGAGGCGGCTGTTGCTGTCCCATCACACACCAAGCGGCGTCTCGGCGGTGTGACAGCCTCTACCCATGATGCTGGAGTTCAAAGCCACGCTGGCACTGTCCCCTGGCCTGCAGGACCCCGAGAGCCCCCTGTCCCTCCATTGCTTTGGCAGATTGACCCACACCTCTCGGCTGGCAAGAAACCACATCCCTGATTCCTGCACAGGCTGAGGAGCGGGATGTTTTCCTGCCTCGGCAGCAAAATGATTGCTTTGGGTTCAGATAAATCCAATAAAGAAATTCCTCTGCAGATCCTCAGTTTGGAGGGTAAAGGGGACAATCCAGTGTGCCCACTGAGCCACTCTGTTGCTGCTGTCCCCTTTGGGGGTCCCCAGGGCACCCCGGTGCTGCTGGGGCTGCGTTAGGAGGGGGCGATGGGAACTGACACTCAAAGCAAGGAAGACGGGAGCGGCTGTTGGGGGCGGCTGGAGCCCTGGCTGCCCAAACCTTTCCAGGAAGGCTTATCAGCAGAAAGCAGGTTTGCGATCTCAAGGCACTTCTTGAATTTCGATCTTGCTGCTATTTGCAGTGACTCAGCTCCTGTCCGGTCAGCCGGTTCGCTGGGAATGAACGGGTTACTTGATGAGCAGATGGAAAACCCAGAGCTTCCTCTTGCCATAGTGGGGGGACAGAGGGGACAGGGAGGGGGTGGGATGGGGGGAAGGAGCAGCCTCAGCCTCCAGCAGGGCCAGGGCTTTGTGCTTTCTGCTCTTTCCAAAGGGCATCAAGGAAGGAAGCCAGCAGCAAGGCAGCTGCCAGGGAAGCAGCTTTGCTTTTTGTGTTTGGGTTTCTGAAACTTTCAGTGGAAACATTTAATTTCGGGAGAAAAACAGCATTGTCACTCAAAACCCACAGCTGTGCCAAAGAAGGCGTTTTTTGGGGGGGAAATGAGACACTTCTGCTTGAGAAAATAAACAAAAGCAGCCCATCACACTGGCAGACGGCTCGGGAGCCGGGGAGCAGCGGTGCAGCAGGGATGGCTGTCCATCATCCCAGTCCATCACCACTGGGAGAGCATCCCAGTGGTCCCAAGTGGTCCATCCACAGGGGTTGACCTGCATTCACTCTACCCTGGTCCCCAGACCCCTGCTCTGGCCTGGGGCCCCTGCAAAGCCTCCCGAAGCCCTTTGGGCCCTACGCGAGGGAAGGGGCTGTATTCCCCACTGGGACAGATATCATGGTAGAGGAACTTTGCCTGGGAACCAGTGGCTGTTTCAGACCAAAAGCAATCAGTCTTTCTCATGAGACACCCCCAGGGTGAGTCATGGTCCCTGGGCAAGAGGGAGGAAGTACCCGCCTTTAAAAAAGACATCCAGGGTCTGTGGGTAAACACTGCCCAAGGAAGCGACAGGAGAAAGAGGCTTGGGAGACTCCTGAAACGCCTGAGTGCATATGGACCTGGCTCCATCCCGAAGAGTGCTTTGTGAATAACCACGGGGAAAAATCCACATCAGGAGCAAGAAGCTGGAAAATGAGAATTTTTCTGGTTTGGACCCTTTTCCCAGGTGAGACCCAAGAGCACAGGTTCCCACCGCACAGGCTCTGGCAGACCTGTGGAGAGGCTGGGACCGAGCCAGCCCGGGGAAGCCCACCATGGTCACAGCAAGACCCTAGCTGGTACCGTCCTTTTCTTGTGGCCAGCGGACGGCTACAGGGGGGAACTCTGAGATGTGCTCGTATTGCTGTCATATGAAGCCTGGTAATAAGGTTTTTGCCTTGTTTAACAACATGTGAGCTTGATGGGGGCTCTTTTTTTTTAATGGCTGGGGACATCTCATCTCCGCACCACTCTCCAGCGCAGTGGGTGCGCAGACATGGTGTCCGTCAGGACAGGGTGTCCCTGAGCATCCCGGGCTCAGACCCCTCCCAGTTCCCTGAGGCGATGCCAGTACATGCTCAAAGCACCTCTCCCTGTCCCCCACAGGTGGCTGGGCAGTGACGGGCCCCACGCAGGTGACAGCCGAGCAGGGCAGCTCGCTGGCAGTGTCCTGCAGCTACAAGCCAGGCTACGAACTCTACCCCAAGTACTGGTGCCGCCCGGGCTTCCTCTGGTTTTGCCTCACCTACATCGCCCAAACCAACGGCTCAGAGGTGACGGTGACACAGGGCAAGGTGTCTATTGGGGACAACCACACAACACGCTCGTTCACGGTGATGCTGGGTGGTGTTGCGCCGGGGGACGCAGGCTGGTACTCCTGCGGGGTGCGGAGGAGCCTGTGGTTCAGCCTGTGGCACACCACCGAGGTGATGGTTTCCACAGGTAAAGCCGGACTGGGAGCAAAGCAATGTGTGCGATGGAGCCTGTCACTTGGGTCACGGTGGTGGGGACAGGGCCTCTCCAGCCAGGGGTACACAGGGGTTGTCAAAGCGGGAGCAAGCTCCTTGCAGGCATCGAGACCTGCTGGAGCTGCCCCAGTGCAAATTTGGATGAGGGACAGAGGAGGCTGTACAGAGCTTCACACAGAGCAGAGCCTCTCCCTAGATCCTGTTCAGCATCTCTGCTTCCACAAGCCCGTCCTTTGGGGTTTCCAGTCCCTCCCAGTAAAAACCCTCTTTTTCCTCGTCCCCCTCCCCAGTGCCCAGTGCATTGCCTGGAGACCCCCATCTCCACCTCCTGCACCTCCATGGCTGAAGGCTCTGGGCAGAGAACCCCTGCGCAGGGGGATGGATGGGGTGAGGGGGGATGTCCACTTTCTTCTGACTCTCTGTGTTTTCTTCACAGCTGTTCCAACCGTGACCGAGGGCAGTGACATGAGCCCATTGGCCACCAACCTCCTGTGCCCCGTGGGCTGTGAGGCACGGTGAGTCAGGGTTCAGCGTCTGGACAAGCCCCCAACAGCATCCTCCAGCCTAAGACACCTTTTCCCCTGCGTGCATCCCCCAGCCCTGCGTGCCCCCGGTTGCAAGAGTCCCAAGGAGCATCCCGGGGGCAAGCGGGGTGACCGGCAGACGTGCAAGTGCCCCAGTCCCCGTCCTCAGTGCCCAGACCCTACTCAAGTTCTAGCATCATCTCTTTTCTCCTACCCAGGTCCCAGCTTGGTATCACCCACCTGCTGCTCCTCCTCAGCGTGAAGGTGCCCGTGGCGCTGGCCCTGGCATGTGGGGTCGCATGGGTGAGGAGCCGGCGCGGGAGCAACAACCGGGAAAACCTACAGCCCTTCGAGGTTACTGGCAGCATCGGGACCCCGGGCTGCCTACCCGTGCCGAGCACCCCAGAGTCACAGAGATGTCCTCCTGTCCCCTTGCCCCCCACCCTGCCGGGGCTGCGCCGCCCGTCACGGCCAACCCCCGCCGGGACCTGC